AGGCTTTTTAGTTCCTCTTCACTTTCTGCCATAAGGGTGGTGTCATCTGCATATCTGAGGTTATTGATATTTCTCCCGGCAATCTTGATTCCAGTTTGTACTTCTTCCAGCCCAGCGTTTCTCATGATGTACTCTGCATAGAAGTTAAATAAGCAAGGTGACAATATACAGCCTTGACGTACTCCTTTTCCCCTTCTCCTAGGTAGTTCCTATTCATCTTTTGGAGAGACCCCCATCCCTGGGAGGTTCTTGTTTTCCCCTTTGTAGTAATATTACCCCCTTTATATGATTTCTATCTGGATCAAATGAGATACATAGTTCAAAACACTTAACACAGTGTTTCAGAAAGTGTCAAGACTTCAGTTCAATGGGGCTTTCCTGGCCTCCAGTGGTTAGCACTCACAGCTTTCACTGTCATGGCCCCAGGTTCCATCCCTGTAAAGGAACTAAGACCCCACAAGCCACAATATGCGGCAAAAAAAGAATAAAAACTTCAGGTCAAGAGACACCTCATCCATGAAGCCCTCCCTGACCGCCCTACCCACGTCTTGTTCCCATGTGTTATCCTTTCTCATGGATCTCTCAATTTCTCTTTTTGGTACACACCATAAATATAATTAACTAATTACTTGTGCTATCATCTGCTTCTTGTTTCTCTTTCAGATTAAGACTATGACTCCAGAAGGGCAGAAATGGTGCCCAGCACCATGCCTGCCAGATAGGAGGTGTTTGATCCATGTCTGTCCAATGAATGAATGGATGGGTCAAATGGGCTCCATCTTTGATTCAATTACTAAAATGTCAGAGGTTACACTTCTTATCACTGTTATCACCACATCTATTTTTCCCCATTTTCACATCTTTCCATAAAGATGAAGAATAAAACACATTCGTGTTCACATCATGGGACAACAAAGCTATCTATATCTGTCCAGACAGACCAAGATGGTTACAAAGTTCAAACTAAACTTTGAGGTAGACAGCTTTGTTTTTCTGTTCATCATGTTTAATCGCTAAGTCACATCAGAGACTTCTGCAACCCCATGGACAGTGGCCCGCTAGGCTCTTCTGTCCATGGGATTTCCCAGGCATGAATATTGGAGTAGGGTGCCATTTCCTTCTCCAGGGCATCTTCTCAGCTCAGGGATCAAACTGTGTCTCCTGCATTGGAAGGCGGAAACTGCCAAGCCACCAGGGAAGCCCTCTGTTCATCTACAAGTGCCAAAATTCAATAGTCACAGGCTGTATCTCTGTCCTTCCAGATTGACTCTCACCCTCTCCTCCTGCTCTGTGCCCTGACAGGCTGACTGCCTGACGGGCTCCCTTCCCTTCCTTGCCTTCTGGCGCCAGAAGCAAGAGACTCCAGTAGAGATGGGGAGGGAGGAGGGGAGAGAGGGCAGGGTCTTTATCCTCCTCTTCCTAAACACGGGCTGGATATGGCAACTCAATTTTATCACACTGGATGTGGCGGCTGAAGTGATGCTCTGGGACTTTCAATGCTACGTCATGAAACGATACAACTGCCGCCTGGCTTTCCTTCTCTTGGGTTGCCTGCCCTGGAGAGGCCAGCTGCCAGGTTGTGCATATCAAGCTCAAGTCAACCTAGGTAGGGAGGAACTGAGGCATCCCGTCAACAACCAGCACTCACCTGCAGGTCATGCGTGAGTGAGCCTCCTCGGAAGCAAGACCCTTCAGCCCCAGTCAAACCTTCAGAGGAACGCAGCCCCAGTCAACATGTCGACTACAACCTCATGGAGACCCTGAGCCAGAAAGCCTACTAAAGCCATCCCTGGATTCCTGACCCACAAACATTGTGTGAGCTAATAAGTGTTTCTTGTTTTAAGTCACTACGTGTGTGCATGCGAAGTCACTTCAGTTGTGTCCAACTCTGTCACCCCGTGGACTGTAGCCCGCTAGGCTCCTCTGTCCATGAGGATTCTCCAGACAAGAATACTGGAGTGGGTTGCCATGCCCTCTTCTAGGGGATCTTCCTAAACCCTGGGATCGAACCCACGGCTCCTGCATTGGCAGACGGGTTCTTTTACCACTAGCGCCACCTGGGAAGCCCTTAAGCCATTACATTTGGGGAGTTAATTTGTTTCACAGCAACAGAGAACTACCACACCTGTTAACAAGAGTCCCCAGTTCCCACTCTTCCTGGAACCCTCTTCCTCTATATCCTTCAGGTCTCCACTCGGATGTTACTTCGCACAGCCTTCCCTACACTCTCTTTACCCATCCCCCTGTGGCAGTTTATTTTTCATCCTGGCATGTATCATCTCCTGAAAGTAGTAAGAGTGTTAGTCACTCAGTTGTGTCCGACTGCAACTCCATGGAATGAAGCCCACCAGGCTCCCCTGTCCATGGGATTCTCCAGGCAAGAATACTGGCGTGGGTAGCCTTTCCCTTCTCCAGGGGATCTTCCTGACCCAGGGATAGAACCCAGGTCTCCCGCATTGCGGGGAAATGCTTTACCGTCTGAGCACCAGGGAAGCTGCATACCCATCACATATTTGTTTCTTCTATCTCCCCCACTAGAATGCGAGCTCTTCAGGGCAGGGATCTTTGTTTTCTGCGATGCTGTGTCCATGGTGGATGGAACAGTGCCGGGCACAGAGCAAGCTCTCACTATGGTGATCATTAGGATGAGAATCTAACAGACTTGAGTTGTGTTGGGGCTGGATCAGATTCCCACCTGTTTCCTGCCTGTTCTGTGCTCACCATGACCAGGGATGGGACATAGCTGTGACCTCCCCTTCCACTGGGTAAGCAGTAGTTGGGAACTATAACAAGAGAGCCCCTCCATGCCTCCCCACTTGCCTGGGATAAAATCCCAGGTCCTCTCAGCAGTCCTCAACCTCTTCTGCACCAGAGACCATTTTCCTGGAAGACAATTTTTCCACAGATGGGGTGGAGGGTGGGGGGATGGTTTCGGGATGATTCAAGTGCATTACATTTAGTGTGCAATTTATTTCTATTATTATTGCATCAGCTCCACCTCAAATCATCAGGCATCAGATCCCAGAGGTTGGGGACCACTGCTCTGTGACACCTACAGCCCCCCATTCCTACCTGAAACCCCACCACTCAGCCACAAAGAACCATGAACTGTTTACATTTGCTAAAAGAGTAGGCTCCAGGGAGGAGTGCCTAGACCCCACAAACAAAACTTTGGAGTTCGGGCAGAAAACATTAGAACATTTATATTTTTAATCATTGGGGATCTTCCCCACCCAGGAATTGAACCCCCATCTCTGGAGTCTCCTGCATTGGCAGGCAGATTCTTTACTACTAGCATGGATTCTTTACCACTAGCGCCACCTGGGAAAGCCAAGGAATATCATTATGTAATAAATACATTATCATAAAATGATCTACAGAATCTGATCATTCTCTAGTAGCTCAGTTGGGCTTCCCTTGTAGCTCAGTTGGGAAAGAATCTGCCTGCAATGCAGGAGACCTGGGTTCAATTCCTGGGTCGGGAAGATCCCATGGAGAAGGAAATGGCAACCCACTCCAGTATTCTTGCCTGGAAAATCTCATGGACAGAGGAACCTGGCAGTCCACGGGGTCGCAAGAGTCGGACACTGCGACTAAACCACCACCACAGAATCTGAGTATAACTGCATTTGTATATAATTCATAAACAAACACTCTTCGGGGAATTGAGCTTCCACATTTTTACTGATGGAGGTGCACGTTAAACAATTTGAGGGGTGTCATTTATCCTAACAATTTTGCCACCCCCAGAGAACATTTGGCAACGTCTGGAGACATTTTCAGTTACCACGACTGGGGCAAGGGTGCCAAGGGCATCTAGTGGGTTGAAGCCAGGGCTGCTGCTAAATATCCTACAATGCACAGATCAGGCCCCCAGGATCACCCAGCCCCAAGTGCCAATAGTGTTGATGTTGAGAAGCCCTGGCTTAAAGCGCTATTCACTTTTTTTCTGGGCTCTCTGCACCCAAAGCTGTTCCATCCCGCACTCCGATCTTCTGACTGCTGAGACCTCGCTCTTCCAGACTCCTCCAAGAAGCCATTTCCTTTTTTTTTTTTTTTTTTTTAAGAAACCATTTCTGATGCCGCTAGGCAGGGCTTCTCCAGCCCCCTCGCCCACCCCCCATGCTGGGTTAAAATTGTCCTGATCCTTCGGGGTTCTCAATCTTCCGTTTTTCAGCGCAAATTCCCTGGAACCCCTAGACAGACCGATTCTGCAAGACTGCGAAGGACCAGGAATCCGTATTTTTAACGAGCACCTTCTCCCCACCACAACTGCCTGCTTCTTAATATCTTGCACATAGTAGGTGGCCCAGTGACTAGTTGAATGCCTACAGCATGCCAGGCGCTACGAAATACTCAACCTGGGGATCCCGAATCCTGGCACGTGCGCGCGCGCGCGCACAGGCATGAGCGCGCGCGTACACAAACCCGCTCCCAGGATGTAGCCACTATCATCACCCCCATTTTACAGAGAGGTAAACTGAGGTTCAGAGAGGAGACATAGCCGGGTAAGACACTCAAAGCGAGACAGGGGTCCAGATCCTCATTAGCGCCTGATTCCCGGGGGAGGGAGGGGATCGAGCGGTGAACAGGGGAGCGCGAACAGGCGGGGGCACGGAGACGCCGCGGCCTTCAGATGCGGCCCCGCCCCCACGAGGGACGTGAAGACGCGGACCCCGCGCAGCGTGGGGACATGTGACCGACTGCAGAGGCCGCGCCGCTTCCCCCGCCCGAGTTCTGCGCGCTCCGCCGCAGGGTGCAGATCCGGGGCGCCCGCCTGGGTTTGGGGCGCAAGAGCAGAGGCGGAGCCAGGGCGGAGCCAGCGCTCCCCGTCCACCCCCCCGTTCCCAAACGAAAGCGAAACGGAGCGCAGGAAAGGAAGGGCGGAGCCGGCCTGGAGGCCCCGCCCCCTGCCCTGCGCGGCCGGACCGACGGGCGCGCCCAGGTAGGGGGCCGCTGAGCGCGCAGTGCGGACCCTCGCGGGGACCTACGCCGCCACCATGTCTCAAGAAGGTGTGGAGGTAGGAGATGGCTACAACTGGGCCGGGGGCCCGCGAGAGATGCTGAGGAGGAGCTAGGGGCACGGAGCGGGCTTCGCAGTTGCTGGGGACTCCATCCAAGCCCAGACCTTCCCCCCAAGGCTGGCACTCGTCCACCTCGGAAAGGAGAGTGACCGCCACATGCCCCGGAGCAAAATGCGGCCTCCTCGAGGAAAAGCGGGGGCTGCTGGGTCAAGGGTCAGAGGCCAGGGGTCATCTGGCCGGCCTCATCCCTTAGCCTGGGACGCTCGCCCTAGTCCGCTCCCTCCCCCAGTTGACGGTGGGGACTTTGGCTTTTTCCAGGAAATGCAGTAGAGGGATGGGGGGGGGGGGTACGGAGGCCAAAACCCAGGGTCAAGTTCAGGCCGTGAAAAAAGGAAGCCTAGGGATGGAGGAAGGGCAACTGCGCTCTCCTTCTCCCATCTGTCCCCACCCCAGCTGGAGAAAAGCGTCCGGCGCCTCCGGGAGAAGTTTCATGGAAAGGTATCCTCCAAGAAGGCGGGGACTCTGATGAGGAAATTTGGCAGCGACCACACTGGAGTGGGGCGCTCCATCGTGTATGGTGAGCAGGTGGGGGGCCTGCCTGGTGAGAGTTAAGCTGGGGAGCAGGGAGGGGGTGTGGTCTGTGCTGGGGGCTAGAAGAGGCGATGAGATCATCTCTTTGGGGGGCGGTCTGGGTCGGGGTTCTGGGGGCCCTGAAATTCCCACAAAACCTTTCAAGGGGCCTTCACTTACACTTAATCTCCCCACTAGGGGTAAAGCAGAAGGATGGACAGGAACTGAGTAATGATCTGGATACCCAGGTAAACTGCCCCCCTCCCCTCAAAACACGTGGTAAGGGGAGGAAGAATGGAAGGGTCAGGCTCATCCATGGCAGAGCTCCTTCTATGCACTGTGCATCCACAACTCATGGTCTAGCCTCATTCACTTACTCACCTCAGTCGTGGATCTGACCAAGGAGTCTGCAAACTGGAGGTGCTCATTACATGCTGATTGTATGAAATGGAAGAGAGAGACAAGAAACTAGGCAGTGAAAAGAATCAGGATTATCATCATTACAGAGGAGCCAAAGAGGTCAGGGAAGGCTTCCTGGAGGAGGTGGTACCACATTCTTCAAGCCTAGAGAGGAGTGATCCCTGGGAAGGGGAGAGGTTGGAGATCTTCCTGGAAGAGAGGGTGACCTGAGCAGAGGAACTTGCAGACAGGCTGGGATGAGCGGGAGATGGGGCAGGAAAGAGGGGCAGGGAAGCCCATGTGAATGAATGAATGAATAAAACAATGAATGAATGAAAGGCTTTGTATGGCCACTTTGCCCCTTAGATGGCCTTGGTAGCTGGTGCACTGGTTTGCCTGTCTGAAAGGGCCCAGCACAGAGTTGTTAAAGAGTATAATAAAGTATGTTTTATACTTTAACATTTATATATTTACAGTTATACATATAATGAGTGTAATAAAACTAGCAAAGAGTATCATTGATTGAGCACTTTCCCTGCAGTAGGACTCCAGGAATTCTACCTGTTGACTTATTGCCACAGGTCCTGTAAGACAAGTCCTATTATTTATCATATCCACTTGACATATGAGGAAACTGAGACACAGGGTGATGAAGTCACTCACCAGGTTCATGCTGAATGCAGGTGGCAACTGGGATTTGAACCCAGGTCACCTAGAGTCAGAACCTGTACTCCTAGACGTCCTTCATTAGGGAGAATGGCTTGGCCACGACCCTACAGCTGGAAGTGATGAGGCCAGGATTCCAACCTGTGGCTCTCTGAATCCAGAGCTCAAGCACTTAGTCTAAAGCAGCATAGCCTCAAAGAGGCGACCTGTCACAATGCCAGCAAGTGTGTGCCAGCATGAAGGGAGCACAGGGCCCAGGCCTGTTGCCCCACACTCACTCAGGGTAATCTCAGGCAAGCCCTCTCAGGGCTCTGGGCCTCAATTTCCCCATCTGATCAATGGGGATCACAGGTGTGCCCACCTCTCAGGGTTGCTATGAGGACAACTGAGATCACACACCCTTGCCCTCAGGAAGTGGAGGCTGCTCAATTAACTCCTCTTGAGTTGGGGACACCTTACTCATATGGGGCCAGAACCCTGCCTCCCCCTCCAGAAGCCCTGCCCCCAGAAAAGAGGCATGAGCCACCTCCCCAGTTTCTGCCCCTGGTGTTTCCGCCCAGGACCCCCCAGAGGACATGAAGCAGGACCGAGACATCCAGGTGAGTCCAGGGTGTGGGACATGGAGGTGAGTGGTGAGCACAGCCCTGGGGGTGTCCATACGTGAGGAGGAGGGACACTTTAGGGGCTGGAAGAGGACTGACCACCCTCCTGGCCCCACCCACCCCATTCTGCAGGCGGTGGCGACATCCCTCCTGCCGCTGACAGAAGACAACCTACGCATGTTCCAGCGTGCCCAGGAAGACCTCATCCCTGCAGTGGACCGGCAGTTTGCCTGCTCCTCCTGTGACCATGTCTGGTGGCGTCGCGTGCCTCAGCGGAAGGAGGTAATGACCCAACCCCTGCCCTTGGTTCTGTCCTGGCTCTGCTCCCAACCCCCACTCCCAGTGTCCAAACCAACTGACCCAAGAACATCGGCCTCTGAGAACCCAACCCCGGAAACCTGCAGCCTCAGAGATCAACCCCAATCTCAGCCCCAACGCTGACCGAGAGCTGGACTTCCAACTTAACATTCAACTGGAGAAGCTCAACTTACCCCTGAACTCTGACTACGCAGTTTGACCGCTACCACAGAAATCAAACCTGAGCCCCAAATCTGGCTTCTGAACCCCCTGACCAGTGGCGTGCTTCTGGTAAATGCCTAATAACCAGCCCTTGTAGGAAGTGCCCCCAGACTTACAGTGTTTGCCAGTTTCAATGGTGTAAACTCCACCGTGACCACCATCAGGCTGTCAGTGCCCATCTGCTCTGCTCTTCTCTACCCCTAGGTGTCCAGATGCAGGAAATGCCGGAAGCGCTATGATCCGGTGCCCAGTGACAAGATGTGGGGCGTGGCTGAATTCCACTGCCCGAAATGTCGGCACAACTTCCGGTGAGGGCACAACTTCCCCGAGAGGGAGCTGACCCCACCCCCTGACCCTCGGCCCCGCCCCAGCCCCGCCCTGCCCCTCCCTACCCTGGCCCGTCCTGGGCCGGCTGGCCCTTGGACCCTCACAGCCCTGCCCGCCCCCAGGGGCTGGGCACAGATGGGGTCCCGGTCCCCCTGCTACGGGTGCGGCTTCCCTGTGTATCCGACACGGATCCTCCCTCCGCGCTGGGATCGCGACCCGGATCGCCGCAGCTCCCACACCCACTCCTGCTCCGCTGAGGACTGCTACAATCGGAGAGGTGAGCACCTGGCGCGTCCCCGTGGCCTCCCCCTATTCCGGGCCGTCTATGTGGCCTGGACTCCTGGGACTTCCACCTCTGGGGCTTTAAGCACCAAGGTGTCTGCCTGCTTCTTCCACCTAACTCCTAAGGTCCTAGTTCTGGAGGCCATTTCACCTCTTACCACATGGGCCCCTCCTTCCACATCTTCCACCGTCCTCCACCTCCTTGCCTCCAGGTCTGTCCTGGAGGGGGTCCCTCCTCACACTCACCTCCCATGGCATCAGCCACCCTCCATGTTTTCACCCATAAGGCTTTGTGGTTTCACCCTGATGACCCACATCCGGGTGTCCTATGGACTCAGCCCCTGTAGTCTCTCTGTGTTCTTGGCTCCTGTTTTGTCCTCTGTAGTCTCAGGTGATGCCCATGACCCTGGGTCTCCTGTGGCTTCAACGTCTATGACTTCCACCTCTGCCCTAGAGCCTGTGGCCTCAGCCCCTCCCCTCCCCCAGAGCACCCCGTGGCCTCCAGCCCCAGGAGGGGGCTCAGAACCTCTCCCTCCCCAGAGCCCCACGTGCCTGGGACGTCCTGTGCACACCCCAAGAGCCGAAAGCAGAACCACCTGCCCAAAGTCCTGCACCCCAGCAACCTCCACATCAGCAGTGGCTCCACTGTGGCCACCTGCCTGAGCCAGGAGGGCCTCCTGGAAGACCTGGACAACCTCATTCTGGAGGACCTGAAGGAGGAGGAGGAGGAAGAGGAGGAGGAGGAGGAGGGCGGGCACGGGGAGTGACCCCTGCCAGATGCAGATGCAAACCAGACACGGTCTGTGGATATTTTGTGTTGTTATAAAATATGAGCTCAAACTGAGATCTCAATGCCCTTGGGGAGCCGTCTGGGTCCAAGATATTGGCAGGGGGATTCCTGGGCACTGTCTGCAGAGCCCCGGGGAAGCCCTGCAGATCCACAACGGGAAAAGGCCTGTGGGGCGTGGTCTGCGTGGAGCCACGAAGGAGGGGTGACCAGGACAACTTGGGCTCCTGCTGACACACATCCCCTGGGACTTGAGGGACAGATGGACAGAGGGTCACAGCCTCAGGGGCCTGATCAGCATGGCAGCCTTCTTGAGAGAGTAAGCCCCACCACGAAACTCGGCCCAGTAGACCCCGTCCTGGTAGCGGCTACGGTAGTGGCCACCTCGATGCCACACGCCATTGAGGTTGGAGTGGGCACAGGCATGGTACCACCAGCCTCCCCGCTGGTACAGGGCACAGTTACCTGAGGGGAAAGGGGGAAAAAAGCCTTATTTTATTCTTCTCACCAGCATAAAAGCCTCTACCAGCAACTCACTAGCACAAGGCTTTTGCCAGGCATCCTCTGTCCCCCTACTTCAAAGTAATAGCCTTAGTTTCTTCCTTATTCCCTTACCAAAGTACAAGTCACATTTTTCTCCATCCTTTCTGCAAACTAGGAGCTTTACCTCTCATTCCTTTATCAGAAAAAACAACCTTCTCTACTTTCTTTCTAGAATAATTAAAAGTCCTAGCTCTCACAGCTCCACCTTTCCCCCACCACCTTTCACAAAGGCAAGGGCCCTGACTTATTGACTCATTAGAGAATGAATCTAGACTCCCTCACCAGAGTAAGAGTCCTGTGCTCCATTCTCTTGTTTGCCCTGATCCCTACCAGAGGAAAGTCTTACCCCACCCTCTTTCATTTCCTCACTAAGAGTCTTCTATCCAGCCCCCACACACCACCAAAATAAGAGCCCTTTACCAGAATAGGAGTCTCGGTCTCTATCCACGGTGCTGAAAGGCTTGTCATTGTGCCAGGAAAGAGAGTCTCCAGCATCCCCATGGTACTGGCCAAGCCGCAGGCGGTAGTGGTCACTCTCAGGCTCCAGGGAAAAACCATCATAGTGGGCGCGTGCCCCACGGCCTCCCCAGTCTTCAAGGAGCACCAGTAGCTCATGGTCCCCACGGCTGGTGAGCTGATGCACAGGTTCAAGGCCCAGCCAGTATTCCCCATCAGGCTGCCCGAAGCCCACCTGGCAGGAAAGTCAGAAAGTCAGGAGCTGATCCCCTTCCCCTGCCCAGCCCCGCCCCACCACCTGTGCCCACCTTGTAGTGCTGCCAGGTAGTGAAGAAGTTGACCGAGCCATCCTGCCGCCTCTGAATCACAGTCCAGCCTCCTCCCTCCAGTTGTTGCTCACACCATGCTGACACCACGTGCCGGCCCACTCGTAACTCATACACTCCACTCTGTCCATGGCCTGCCTGGCGGGCCTCTGCACAATCCCGCCATGGGCCTATGGGCACAGGGATATGGGAGAGGCACAAGCTGGACCAGTCAACCCCTTACTGGAGTAAGAATCTTGATTCTCACAGGTCCCCTCACCAGAATAGCAGCACTGCTTCTCTTATTCCCTCTCCAGGATAAAAGCCCCAATACACATTTTCTTACCTAAATAAGACTAAGTCACTCTTCTCTCAGTAGAGCCAATGTGGAGCCTGGGATTCTTAAATCCTTCTATGGTTTCACCAGAAGAGAGGTCCTGAACATGGCCCTCTGAACTTCCTCCAGTGCTCACCAAAGTAGCATTCTTAAATCTGCTGCCCTCTCATCAAAATAAGAGTACCTCTCCTAGTTTCACACCATAGTAAGAATTTTGTTCCTTATCAGAGTCAGAGCCATATCTCGCTGTTCCATCAACAGAATAAAATGCATCATTTCCCCCAGCCCCCTCACCATAAGAGGAATCTCGCATTAAGGTCCTGCCTCCTATTTCCCTCTGTTCACGCTGCACTGGGAATCCCCTGGCTCCTCACACCCACAACAGTCACACCCTTGACTCACCTGCTGGCTTAGCAGGAACAGCAGGGTGCCCCGAGGGCAGAGGAGAGGCCAGGGGTCCCGGCTGTCTCAGGATCTGATCTCTCTGAGGTTCTGCGGCTGAGTCTAGCCTCCTGCTGGTGTCGCCGGTGCCACCCACCAAACTGACGGGGACCACAGGTACCAGCGGTGGGGGCAGGACCTGGGGTAGCCAAGAAAGTCAGACACCTTAACCCTGGAGCCTCTAGGCTCCTACATCTCCCAGCACCCAGATGGGAAGGCGATCAAGCAGGGGCATGGCTTGACCCTCCGAAGCCTAGCTCCAGCAGTCAAGAGACAGTCGGACTTCCCAGTGGCCCAGCAGTTGGGACTCTGCTTCTACTCCTAGGGGAGGGGTTCGGTCCCTGCTCGGGGAACTAAGATTCCCCCATGCCTCAAGGTGTAGCCAAAAAGTTTAAAAAGAGACAGAGCTGGGCTTGAACTCTAGCTCTGGTGTCCACAGCTTAACCAATCTGTGCCTCCAAACTTTTCTGTAAAGCAGGGATAATATGAGGCAATCCAACACTGAGTATTAACTTACTGAAGCCTCCCAAAGCTGTAAGGTGGCTACTATCAGAACAACAATCTCTTATTCAAAACCCAAGGCCAGACATAGTCCAGAACTCTGAATAATACAGCAGGAGTTAGAAACAGTAACTGCAGAAGAAAATGGCAACCCACTCCATTGGGGTTGCAGAGAGTCAGACACAACTTAGACTAAAGGACAACAAGAAACAGTAACACAGGGTCTACATATATTCCCTAGCATCCCCAATGAGGTCTTTGGTGTTCATGCACATATTAGTAATATACCTGATTACACGAACCTGCCTGCAATGCAGGAGAGCTGGGTTCAATTCCTGGGTTGGGAAGAACCCCTGAAGAAGGAAATGGCAACCCACTCCAGTATTCTTGCCTGGAGAATCCCATGGACAGAGGAACCTGGCAGGCTATAGTCCATGGGGTCACAAGAATCGGACACAACTTAGCGACTAAACACCACCACTATGAGTATTCATATCAGGTAGATAAGTAAAGACTTTAAGTAGCTACCAGTAGCGTTTTGCCCCAAATGAGTTGTTGGAGGAGAGATAGGGATCCGGTTTATGGAGCTTTTTGTACTTCAGAACCGCGGATAAGAGATCGTGGGGTTTCAGGAGGCCCCACCTTACTGACAATGCCCACAAGAAGTGGCTGCGATTTGGGGAGGGTGATAGTTTCGGAGTTACCTGCTGCTGCCCGCCCGCACTCCCCGGGCACAAGCGCTCCAGGCGGGCGATGAGGCCACTCTGCTGGCTGACTAGCTGTGCCAGCTCGCGGAACTTGACGTCCAGCTGGTGGAAACGGGCTGCAGCGCGCTGCGCCTCGGCCGAGGCGTTCAGCACGCGATCCCCGAGCAGCGCTAGCGCCGAGGCGGGCTCCGCCCCTGGGCTAGGCCCCGCCCCCGGGCCCGCCTCGTGCTGCAGCTGCGCGCGCAGCTGGCCCAGGCGCGCGCTCAAACCTCGGCTCTCCTTGCGCAGCGCACGCACTTCGCCGGCTACGGCGCCATCGGCCGTTGCCAGCCGCTGAAGTTCGCGCAGCAATTCCTCGTGGCGGCTCACGCGCACGCGCAGCGCCGCCACCTCGCTGGCGTTCACGGCCTCCGGCGTCGGGCGCGCGGCCGCCGGCCCGCTCCAGCACACGGCGCCCGTGAACTTCTGCGGGGGCAGCACGAAGGTGTAGGTGCAACGCGGGGCGGCCGCGCGCGCCCACCACGCGCCCAGGAGGAGCAGCAGCTGCAACGTGAGCAGCCGGGGTGCCGACATGGCGGACCTGCGGGCAGAGAAAGAACGGGAAGTAGCGGGGCTGGACCCCCGACTATCAAGTCGGACCAAACCCCGTCCGCTCCCACACGGGAACGCACACAGAGGATACATCCCCTTCCCAGCCCCGAGGTTGGAGATGCTGCAGTAGAACCCGTCCCTGGCCTCACCACTGAGTTCCAGGCGCCCTACAGGTCAATATGGTTCGTGCATTCACTCTGCAAGGCTTCACTGAGAGCTGACTGTTTGCTGGCCTCAGTTCTAGGCGCTTGGGAATACAGTCGGGGTAGCACACAAAAAAATCCCTGCCTCGGTGAGCAAGGAACAAAATTAAGTTAGAATTAATAGAGTATTAGACGGCCCTAGTTTGTACTAAGGATAACAGTAAAAGACAGGACAATACCCTGGCCGTCAGTAGTTTAACTGTGTGCTTTCGCTCCTCGGGACTTGGATTCCGTCCCTGGTCGGTCCAGGAGCTGAGATCCCGCAAGAGGCAAAAAAAAAAAAGACAGCAATAAAAAGACAGAGAGACGGGGATTTGAGAGGAGGGAAGACCTGGAGGAGGTGACATTTTTATACAAAAACCTGAGGGAGGAAACCATGGGGGTTTCTAGGGGAGAAGAGGTCCCTGGCAGGAATAACTGAAATTTTAAAAGCCCTGAGGGTGGGTCATGCCTGATATGTTAAAAGTACCTGGAGGAGGCTGAAGCAGAAACCATGGGAAAATGGGGAGAGAGGGATGAGGGAAAAGTCCCCCTAATTCAGTCTAGTAGCAGATACCACATTTCCCATATACCCAGCCCCAAATCCCAGGGTTGTCCCTGTCTCTTTCTCCATGGCAGATGGAACCCATCAGCCAGGCCTGTCAGCTCTTGTGTTTAGACCCTGAATTCCTCCACATTCACCCGCCACCACCACCATGCTAACCCATGATCCAAGCTCAAGACACCATCTGGCTTTCCTTAGAGTTGCTACCTCCCAGGTCTCCAGGCTTCTGTCCTCAGGCCAGAGAATGCCTGTGAACACCCAAGTCAGGTCATGTCCCCTCACTTAGAGGAAAAGCCCGAGTCCTCCTGCAGCGCAGAAAGTTCTATAAGCTCTGTCCAGTCCCCTCCCTTCCTCACCTCCTCCTGTTCACCCCACTCACTGCTCCAGCCACCCTGGCCTCCTGGCTGTTCCTCAAACACACAGGGCATCCTTCAGCCTTCAGGCATTTGCACTTGCTGTTTTCTCAGCCTGGAATAGTCTTCCCTCAATTTATCATGCCTCCCTCTCCTTATTTCGGTCTCAGCTGTCTCCTTAGAAGCCCTCCTTGACTACCCCATTTAGAGTCGCCCCTCCTGGGCACACCCTATATGGACTTTCTCTTTCTTTCTTTTTTTAATATTTATTTATTTGGCTGCACCGGTCTTAGTTGCGGCATGTGGGATCTAGTTTCCTGACCAGGGATTTAACCCAGGCCCCCTGCATTGAGAGCGTAGAGTCTCAGCCAGTAAACCACCTTCGAAGTCCCCATGGTCTTTGTCATTTAGCATTTGTCATTCTGCATTTGCCTCATTGATTTGCCACTGTTTATGCTCTGAATTCCTCCACCAAAATATCAGCTCCCAGAGGCTGAGTCTGGGTTTTGTTCACTGCTCTGTCCCCAGCTCCTAAAACAGCGCTTGGTGCCACACGCGCCCTGCCGCACCCACGTGCTCCCCCCAAGGTGTTCCCTGACTCCCACAGGTGAGCTCATATAGGTGTCTTCGCTCAAGGATGTATACTCGTGGCCACTAACCCCCCTGCAGGATCCACACCCAGGCCCCCACTGTCTTCATTCCTGGGGTTCACACACTTGCAGCCTCTCAGATGGGGAAACACGTTCCTCCCATGTGCATTTGCCCACATTCAGAAAATGGTCCACATGTCAGCCCTGTCAGCACCAACATCCACTTTGTCCAAACCCACACATAACTGGTGGTCACACACATTACCTCGTTCACACACTCAACAACCATTCCTTGAGCACCTGTTGTGTGCCAGGAGATGGGGACACAGCTGTGACCAACACAGACAAAACCCCTGCCGTCACAGAGCAGACTGGAAAAAAACACAGTAGGTAGGTCTTAGAGTGATAAGTTTTAGGAGAAAAAATATGGAAGGATGTGAGAGACCTGGGCTGGGAGGCACTTTAAATAAAGGAGTCAGAATTTGCTTTCACTGCCAGGGGCATGGGTTCTATCCCTGGTCAGGGAACTAAGATCCCACAAGCCATGTGGTGAGGCAAAAAAAAAAAAAAGAATAAGTAGAGGAGTCAGACCTCACTGAGAAAATGACACTTGAGTGAAGACCTGAAGGAAGAGAGATAAAGGGAAGAGAGAAAGGTGGAACCTAACTTGATATGCCCAGGGAATAGCAGGGAGGCCTGTGTGGCTGGAACAGAGTGAGAGGGGGAGAGCCGGAGGCAGTGAGGACAAGGAGGTGATGGAGGCACAGTGTGCAGGGACCAGAGGAGGATCTGGAGTTTTACTCCAACTTCCATGGGAGCAGTGGGAGGGTTCTGAGCTGCAGAAAGGCATATTCACAACGGTACTCAAACACCAAACACAAACTCCCCAGAGCAGAGCAGGGTCCTCTCCTTGCCCCCAACCCTGGAAGACATCAGGCCCTACATAATAGGGATGGACCAAACCCCTTGGAGGCTTTCCCAGGTAAAGAATCTGACTGCTAACGCAGGAGACGCAGGTTCAATCCCAGGTCTGCAAGATCCCCTGGAGTAGGAAATTGCAACCCACTCCAGTATTCTTGCCTGGGAAATCCCACGGACAGAGGAGCCTGGCGGGCTACAGTCCATGGAGTCGCAAAACAGTTGGACACCACTGAACATGCACACACACAAACCCCTTGGAACTAGAGTGTGTGTAACATCTGCTGCCTTTTGGGATCTCAGCCTGTGGTAAAGAGGAGGCCTGGGGAGCCCCCCAGCCAAACCGAGGCCCAGGCTTCCCAACAGACAGATTCAGCCTCCACCTACCCTCCCACCTTCCTGCGCTCTCACCTTTCACGACCAAGACCCTGAGTTCCACAAGGCCCACAGCAGATACAAGAAGCCCGAGAAGGAGCAGAGTGCCCAGCAGGACCTCTGGAGAAGAGGAGAGGCTAGTGGGAGAGCAAGGAGGAAGGAGGCGTGGTAACCACCCCCAGCCACCCAGAGCCTGGAACTGGAGCTGTGAAATGCTAAGCCGAGGAGCTTCAACTGTAAATATTTAGCATTTCCCACGTGAGGACAGAAGGGGAATTGCCAGACCCTCCTGCTCAGGCCACCAGAGCCTGATAACACAGTTCAGTGCCCTGAACGTTCCCCCAACAGCAGAGCTCGGAGCGTGGGAGGCTGCAGGCCCAGGACGCTGGGGTGGATCCCAGCCTCAGACATAGACACACATCACAGAGAACCACAACGGCGAATATCAGCAGCACCTGCTGCCTGGCAGGGGTGACTCTAAACGCGACATTTTGTATCTCATTTATTCCTGGCCACCTGAGCTGCTTTCTGTAAGTAGCCACATTTTACAGCAGAGAACTGAGCCTCAGACAGGGTGAGCAACTGGCCTGTGGCTCACAGCCAAAGAAAAGATCAGCAGTGGGATTCAGCCCAGGTAACATGGCTCCAGAACTCACACACATGACCACGACAGTCACATACTCCTGTGTAACAGTGCAGCACAAAGACATACAGATACCCTGATAAGACATGCAAACCATTGCACAAAGCAGCAAAGATCGATGGAATCTGTGTGTATGTGTGTGTGTCCATGGATTTGCCTGGCACACCCAATTATAAAGACACAACTGGAGGGAATTCCCTGGTGGCCCAGTGGTAGGATTCTACTCTTTCACTGCCAGGGGCCAGGTTGCATCCCTGATCACGGAACTAGGATCCCACAAGCCTTGTGGTGTGGCAAAAAAAAAAATAAAAAAAGACAGCTGGAAACACAGCACAGATTTGGGCAGTAACTTTTCAAAGTGTGTTCACATAACACACATACATCAACAAGGAAAATATCCCGTGGGCTGAGTGTGTCCATATCTGTGCGTCAGGCGCATGCACACCCAAGTACACTCAGTCACACACCGGTAAGGGCAGAGACACAAACCAACTGGAAAGCGCAGAGACAAGCCTCTGATACCCGCCTGCCACCCACTGGAAGTTTCCATTTATCTCCCACACACTCTCACATCCTCACACAGGTCAAGTCCTGCAAGGACGAAAACAGGCAGCAGTAACCACACACTCATCTCTCAGAGGTACAAAGCGACTCACGTAGAGCCCCCACCGGACCAGGGTCTCCTTGTAAGAAGGCCTCCCCGACCAGCAGACACACTCTCCCAGTTGCTACTGTCCTGAGCTCGTAACCCGAGTGGCCTCCCGGGCTGAAGGAGGAAATGGTCGTCCCAGATCTGAGAGACGCTGCCAGGCTGGGCTCTGGGCCTGGGCTGGGGCCCCTCCGCCCCCCACTGGTAGTCTCCTCCGGCTCCCCCTTTTGGCTGCGGAGAAAGAAACCTCAGAAGTCAAGGAGAGGGGCTAGTGGAAGAGAGTGTCCAGGAGACAGAGGAGAGACGTAGGGAAGATGGGGAGAAAGGTGGGCAATGAAGAGAGAGATGAGAAGAGAGAAATGGGAATGGGGCAGAGAGAGGAGAAAGACGGAAACTTATAGATGATGAAGGAGAGAATTGATGGCAGGAGCAAGGCTGGGGAGAGGGAGGCAGACGGGGAAGACAGGGATGGGGAGGGGGAGACAGAAGTGCGGAGAGGAGAAAAAATTGGAGTGGGGAGACAGGAGAGGGGAAGCAAATGGTGAGGAGACAAATGGGGGAGGGGAGTAAAGTGGGGAGGGGAGAATCAGGGGAAGGAAACAGATGGAACAGGGAGAGAGATGTTGGGGGAAATCTCTTCCCCCACCCGAAGGTTCTGGGGAAGAAGCCAGAGGCCTGAGGCCAAGACTGGGGCTTTGAGCGGAAACTGGGAGGGGGGGAATTATTGACCAAGCGCCCGCCTTGCCCTGAATTTCCAGAAGATGATGTGGAGTTTCCATCCCCCAGCCAGTCCACAGACAGGGCCTCTGCAAGGGACAGCTGATCCTCAGGAGCTGGGGGCCCAATCGAGTAATTGCCAAGGCACTACCCCCTTCTCAGGCTCCCAAGTGCCTGGCGCCAGGGTGCCAATATTGTGTACACATCATCTCTCTTAATTCGCGGTTCAGAGAGGAAATGATGATCATTGAGGATATTTTAGGAGCCTAAAAGTGGAGAACTTGGCTCTCAAAATCGCACAGCTGGTGGAAATGGCTGAGGCAGGATTCGAACCAGGGGCTCATTTCGAGCCATGGCCCCGCCCTGGTTTCCGTAGAAACAGGCCCTTGGTGTTTCCATAGCAACCCCTCCGAGGACGGTTTTCCCGCCACCTGGTGCGCATGCGCTGTTGGTGACGTCATCGAGGTGCCCCCACATAGTCGCCTCGGCGGAGCCGGAAGTGAGCGGAGCAGCGCCGGAAGCAGCCGGCAGACGAGGCCTCGTGGAAAGGACGGCGGCATGGGACAGTCGGGGAGGGTGAGTCGCGGCGGCCAGGAAAGCGGGCAGCGGGGGCGGGGTTCCGCCAGCGGCAGCGGGGCTCACCTCTTGCCTCTCGTCCCCTCAGTCCCGGCACCAGAAGCGCGCGCGCGCCCAGGCTCATCTCCGGAACCTCGAAGCCTATGCCGCGCAGCCGCACTCGTTCGTGTTCGCTCGGGGTCGCGTGGGTCGCAGCGTTCAGCAGCTCAGTATGGACTTGAGGCGGGTCATGGAGCCGCTCACCGCCACCCGCCTGCAGGTCTGCATCACCCAGCCCACCTCCACCCGCCCTGGGCCTCGTCTTCTCAACTGTGGGGGTGGCTTCATCCTCGAAACCGCTGGAGGCCTGAGTTTCCTAGGCTGGAGAAAGGGAACCTTATGGGGACCATCGTGCCTGCCTCTCAGGGATTTGAGGGGCAGCAGCAAGGGCGAGCAGATGAACGCACCCAGCCTGGAGCTTGGCTGAATGCCTAAGGTTGATGGTTAAGAGGGGACTCGAGTTAACAAAGCTGGCTTCTCTCAAAGGCCTGAGCCAAGTTACTTAACCTCGCTGAGCCTCAGATGGGCCCTCTGAAAAGTGTGATGATGCAGTGTCAAGAGACAGAAGCTTCAGTTAAAGTCTGATTGGCTCTAGAGGCCAAGAGCATTCCATTCCCCTCTCCCCCTAGTTCTCTAAAGGGTTAAGTGCAAGAAATGGCATAACAGGTTAGGCTTAAAGGCTTTGCTTAATAAGAGGTTATCTGTGATCATCCATTTTTCTTTTTATCGTTTCCAGATACGGAAGAAAAACTCTCTGAAAGATTGTGTAGCAGTGGCTGGGCCCCTTGGGGTCACGCACTTCCTGATCGTGAGCAAAACAGAGACCAACGTCTACTTTGTGAGTGGATGCTCTCGCCCCCTCACTCCCCACACCCTCCTCTGCCGCCAGCTTTCATGATGACCCTTGTGCCTCTGAACTGCCATGATTCTGGCTTCAAAGTAAACGCTCTGAAGAGATGGGCGGTGATCTCCATTTCCCACCCACCCCCAACCCCTTTTCTGAATTAGACACCTCAACCCTCACAGATCTTTTCTTCTGCAGAAACTGATGCGTCTCCCAGGAGGCCCTACCCTGACCTTCCGGATCAACAAGGTAAGGACTTGAAGTGACACGGGGCTCAGCTGGTAAAGAATCGGCCGGCAAACCCAGGAAACCTGGGTTTGATCCCTGGGTTGGGAAGATTCTCCTGGAGAAGGGAACCCGCTGCAATATTTTGGCCTGGAGAATTCCATGGACTGTGTCTATGGGGTCGCAGAGTCAGACACGACTGAGTGACTTTCACAACAACACAAGAGGTGACATGAGGCCTCCGAGGGGCAGGAGCTGGGTTTGGGGATTGCACCAGCTGCGTGTGCTGGACAGGTGGTCACCCATTCCTCACCTTGCCCTGCAGTACACGTTGGTTCGTGATGTGGTCTCCTCGCTACGCCGGCACCGCATGCATGAGCAGCAGTTTGCCCACCCACCCCTTCTGGTACTCAACAGCTTTGGCCCCCATGGCATGCACATGAAGCTCATGGCCACCATGTTCCAAAACCTGTTCCCCTCCATCAACGTGCATAAGGTGAGCCAGGCCATGTGTGATGAAGGTGAGTGCAGGTGAAGCAGGCAGCAAGGACCACACTCAGCCTCAGTCTTTACCTCCCAGCCCTAAGGCTGAGAGTTCTGGATCCTGAGTTCTAAACCCATTCATGCTCTCCCATCTGGCAGGTGGGAAATAATGTCCATGGTATTTCATTTCCTAAGGGTGAATTCGTTGAATGCTGATCTAAGCTAAGTAGCATGTTCCATTTTACAGAGAGGGAAACAGGCTGACAGAGGTGAAGATACTAGTCTCAAGTTAGATATGAAGGACAAGAAGGTAGGACTAGATTCTTTAAATCTGTCTGGCTCCAGAGCCCCAGCTCCTGATCCCTGGCATCAGGGAGTCCAGTGTGGGTAACCTCAATGGGCCTCGCAAGCTGGATTTCTAGCCCCAGGTAGCCTGTGGACACCAGTTGCAGCCCCATCCGCCCCTGTAGTGCTGGCAGCACCCAGGCCGCCTTTCTGGAGTGTGGCCATCGCCAGGGCTCAGCAGGGGCTCTAGCACACGGGGGCCCGTGACCCACTCACCAGGTGCCGTGCCCTCTTTTCTCTCCCAGGTGAACCTGAACACCATCAAGCGCTGCCTTCTCATCAACTACAACCCTGACTCCCAGGAGCTGGATTTCCGCCACTAGTGAGTTCTCAGTGGGGAGTGGGTGGGTGGGGGGTGCATGGCCCCATGTGCGGCTGATGACAGCACAGCTGCTGAGACTCTGTGATTGCTCAGTCTCAAAGTAAACGCGCTGACGCACTGGAAAGGGTTGGCAGGGTAGGGCTGACCTGTGACCCCATGGCTCCTGACCCCCATCCTGGCCTCCCTCCCACCCCTGCAGCAGCATCAAGGTGGTCCCTGTGGGTGCCAGTCGTGGGATGAAGAAGCTTCTCCAGGAGAAGTTCCCCAACATGAGTCGCCTGCAGGACATCAGTGAACTGCTGGCCACGTGAGGAGGGCTTGGGCTGGTGGCGAGGAGGGGGGCACCACACTCCAGGGGACCCCAAAACTGTCCTCGCAGCCAGGGAGGCCCTGCTGAGCCCCTCGTGTGCCCCACGCAGGGGTGCAGGGCTGTCGGAGAGCGAGGCAGAGCCCGACGGCGAGCACAACATCACAGAGCTGCCACAGGCTGTGGCGGGGCGCGGCAACATGCGGGCCCAGCAGAGCGCCGTGCGGCTCACGGAGGTGAGGCTCAGTGCGGGGCAGGCCTGGTGCTCCCCCATCCCCGAGGAGGGACTGACACCCCATCCCATCTTCTGCCGTTCCTCCAGATTGGGCCTCGGATGACGCTGGAGCTCATCAAGATCCAAGAGGGGGTCGGAGAGGGCAACGTGCTGTTCCACAGGCTCGGTGAGGGCGGGGCCAGGGGCACAGTGGGGCCCGAGGCCTGGCCACGGTGGGCTCACCTGGGTCTTGGGGATGGAGCGCTCAGTGGCCTCCTCTTCCTGCTCAGTGCACAAAACCGAGGAGGAGCTGCAGGCCATCCTGGCTGCCAAGGAGGAGAAGCTCCGGCTCAAGGCCCAGAGACAGGACCAGCAGGCCCAGAACGTTCGGCGCAAGCGGGAGCAGCGAGAGGCTCACAAGTGTGTGGTCACCAGGCAGTTGAGGCGGGGTCCCAAGTGCAGGCTGCCACGTTGACCAATGTTCCTCCTCCAGGAAGAAGAGCTTGGCGGGCATGAAGCGGGCGCGGGCAGAGGCCGATGGGGATAGCGACGCAGAGGACCCCGGGGCCCCGCCAGAGGCAGAGGGGACCAGCCAGCAAGAGGAAGAAGAGGATGAGGCTGAGTATTTCCGCCAGGCTGTGGGCGAGGAACCTGATGAAGGTGTGTGGCAGACAGGGCTCTGGGCACCTGGGTACCACGGGCCTGTCCCTCCCTACGCCTGGTGGCCCTGACACTGCTTCTCCCTGCAGACATGTTTCCAAAGGCAGCCAAGAGGAGGCGGCCTGCTGGGCCCCCAGGCAAGAAGCAGCAGCTGAAGGAACGGAAGCCAGACCGAGGCAGTGACCGGAGACCTCAAAAGGCCAAGGGCAGGGGCCCAGGGGCCCAGGCTAAGGTGGGACCCAGGGGGCCTGCCAGGAACCGTGGGCAAGGCCGACCTCGGCCACCCAAGAGAGCAGCCTGAGGCCAAGCCTGGGTGGCAGATGGAATGCCCCAGATTGGGGCCCGAGAGATGCTGTGCTGGGCTCCCCTCCTGGGCCTCCAGGCGCAGCCCTCGGTTTCCTTTCATAAAGGAGAGCTGCTTTCCCACCTTCCCCTCTAATAAACTCATTTCTCATGAGGCTGAGTCTGCATTTGAAATGGCGGGCTTGCTTTCTGCTACACACCCAGGCCCCTGTCTGCACCTGGGCAGTGGACGTGCAAGACCTTATATGCCAGGGTGACACAGGTGTGACCCTCCTGTGGTGCCCTGGGGTCCTGAACCCCTCCCCAGCCTACCCAGTGCCCCACAGCAGATGAACCAGCTCTGGAAGTTGGGTGCTGTCAGAAGGGAAGCAGGAAGTGGAAGTGAGGCGTGAGCCCAGACCCGCTTCGCGGGCTGAAGGTGGTGCTGCCAGGAAGGGGAGGGGCCAGTGGCTTGTGTCTCAGAAGGGACCACACTGCACGGGGCAAAGTGTGGCTGCAGACCCAGAGGCAGGCATGCGGGCCCTAGCCAGCAACATCTCAGGTGAGGAGCCAGTGCTACCGCGCTAGTGAAGCCAGGCACATCCAGGGCCTTGGGGGTGGAGGTGGCCAGCTCCTAGAGGGTGGTGGGGAGATGGGTAAAGAATCACTGCTGGACTCGCTTCCTCCCAAACAAGAGGGATGGGATAGGAAAGCAGAAGTGAAAGTGGAGGAGCCGTCTGGGTCACGGAACGGGTACGTGCACAGAGCTTATGGCCAGCCTGCTGGACCAGCCAGGAGTTCAGGCCATTCCTCAGAAAGCTGAGGCTGAGTGGGGTGTGTGAAGGACAGACAAGAGAGCTCAGCTCCCCTATGCTGCTGCATCCCAGGCGCTGGCATGGGGAGCCCAGGAGCAGGGCACTTCTACCCTTGGGAGGGAAGCTTCTGGGGATTTTCCTTACAGTGGTCATATGGATGGGGATAGAGCTGTGGAGGAAAAATAAGCAGGGTAGGGGACCACGGGGAGCAGTCGCCAGGTTAGGGTCATCTCAGGATCAGAGACCAGGAGGTGAGGGGGACTGCCTCCAGGGATACCTGGTGCATCAGTGAGTGCAAAGGCCCTGAGGTAGGTTTTGCCCTAAGGAACAGCCAGGACACCATGGTTGGTGGGAGCGGTAGCTTCCTCGGGGCATTGTGGGAAGAGATGAGCACTGGTTTTTCCAGTGAGCACCGATTTTTCTTCCAGGAAGGTAAGGAGAGAGTCTGGGAGTGTATGGTTGTGACCTGATTCAGGTGCCCTTGGGAGGCTGTGAGAACAGATGGATGATGAGGGTGGGAGCAGGGACACCAAGGTGGACCAGAGTACTGGCCCAGGTAGATGGTGACACTTGGGGTGACAAACTGACACGTGGGACTTAAGAGTTGTAGAGGGGGCTGGGGGGTGGGGATCCTCCCCCTCCCTCGGGCTCATGCTTCTCTGCCCCAGGCCCTGAGGGTTCTGGTGGTCAATGCCAGGTTATGTGCATCCCCGGTTCTTGCCCCAGGACACGAGCCTAATGGACTCTGGGCTTCTAACCTTCCTTGTCCTGAGTCCCTCTGTACAAAGGTGCTGTAGCTGGCACTCCCCCTCCTGGGTGTGGAAAAGCACTCTGGAAACATGCCCACAAGGGGCTCCTGGCACACAATAGGTAAGGGTGCCAGAGTGGGAGCCACAGTGAGGGACAGGGCTGTGCCACACCCTCTGCTCACAGGTGCCATGCAGTGCCCAGTCAACTTCTCAGAGGCTGCGGATCGCATCCTCAGTGGCCTCCAGGAGGACTTCCTGTGGCCCATGCTGGCAGCCGAGTTCCTGGTGGCCTTGGCCGGCAATAGCCTGGCCCTGTACCGCTTCTGCAGCCGGGAGCAGCGCCCTTGGCCCCCAGCTGTGATCTTCTCGGCCCAGCTGGCGGTCAGCGACCTGCTCTACGCCCTGACACTGCCCCCCCTGGCTGCCTACTTCTACCCGCCCAAGCACTGGCGCTACGGGGAGGCTGCCTGCCGCCTGGAGCGCTTCCTCTTCACCTGCAACATGCTGGGTAGCGTCATCTTCATCACCTGCATCAGCCTCAACCGCTACATGGGCATCGTCCACCCCTTCTTCACCCACAGCCAACTGCGGCCCAAGCACGCCTGGGCTGTCAGCGCTGCTGGCTGGGCGCTGGCAGTCCTGCTTGCCGCCCCCACGCTCAGCTTCTCTCACCTGAGCCGGTCCCAGCAGAAAGGCCAGTGCTCTGTGGCCAGTCCGGGGGCCTGTATCAAGTGCCTGGGGACAGCGGATGACAGCCAGCTCGAGGCCTACCGGGTCTACCACCTGGTGCTGGCAGCCCTGGGCTGTGGCCTGCCACTGCTGCTGACCCTGGCAGCCTACGGTGCCCTGGGGCGGGCCGTGCAGCACAGCCACGGCATGACGGCGGCCAGCAAGCTGCAGGTCACGGTGCTGGTGGCCAGCGGCGTGGCCCTCTACGCGAGTTCCTACGTGCCCTACTACATCACAGCGACGCTCAACATGTACGCCCGGCTGCGCTGGCGAGCCCTCTGCCCGGGTTTTGAGAACAAGGCCTCGGCTGAGAAGGCCCTGGCCTGGAGAACATACTTTGCCCACCAGGTGACCCGGGGCCTGGTGCCCCTGGCCATCTGCATCCACCCGCTGCTCTACATGGCTGTGGTGCCCAGCCTGGCCTGCTGCCGCCAATGCTGCCCAGGCTGTGGGCAGGGTCAGACCCCAGGGGACACTGCATGCCAAGCCCTGCCCCTCAATGTCACAGCCACCACCCAAACCTCAGGGCTCCAGTCTCCCAAACTGAGCCCATGACCTGGCCCATCTTCAGCCCCCTCCTCATCACAAGATGCTGGAACCCAGCCCCGAGCCCCCCCCGACAGGCCAGGAGCCCCCACTTCCTCCCCACAGAAAGGCCTCCGGTGGGACCAGGGGGCCCCCATGCCAGAGCTGCAGGAGCTTCCACTCACAGCAGTAAACCTGGGCAGGGCCTCCGAGCAAACCCATGATTTGGGGGGGGGGGGGCTGGCCCCACCCACAACAGTGTGATTGACATCAGGGAATAAATGGATGAAACAGCACAAGGCGACTAGACACTTTTTATTGCCCTTGAAGCCCCCTGCTCCAGGAGGCTGCCTTCTGTCACTGAAGGGTCCCGGGGCCAGGGGCTGAGCAGCAACAGCAGCAGCTGGCTTAATTGGTTGATGGCCTAGAAAGGGAAGCATGAGGTGAGTGAGGATGGCAAGTGGGGGGGCTCTAGACCCTTTAGGGAGTCCCAGGACCACCACCCATCTTACATACACAACACGAACTCAACGGGGGCAGGGTGGGGGGACGGGGAAGGAAAAGATGGGGCGGAGGTGCAGAGTACACCAGGGGCCAGACAGGACTTGGGGCGCGCGGCCCTCCATGAGAAGGGAGGACAGTCAGAGACCCAGGCCCTGGGACAACCCTGGTAAGGCCCACAGTCAGCCCAAGTATCAGCTCTGATGCCACGAGGGGCAGCGGGGGGCACAGGTCTTACTTGGCCCACTCGACGTTGAGGATGAGGTGGTCGTAGCCAAAGCCGGACACCCCAGCGATGGCACGTGCAGCGTCCTCACGGCGGTGGAAGCTGATGAATGCAAAGCCCTGGGGGAGGGAGTGGGGGTCAGGGACAACGCTCAGGGCACAGCTGGGAGTCAGGACCCCACCCCGGCCCCACGGCTGCTGGCCCACCTTGGACTGGCCGGTGGTCTTGTCCTTTGCCAGGTAGATGCGGGAGATGGAGCCAAAGGGCCGGAAGAGCTCTTGCAGGTCAGTCTCACGAGTGTCCTCGGACAGGTTGGTGACACGGATGGTGGCATTGTCATCAGCTGGGCAGGCAAGGAGAGGCGTCAATGAGGGGCTGGCCCCGCCCGTGGGATAATCATCGGGTACAGGAGGTGCCCGCCCACGCAACAGCCTGGCACTGGGTGCCCTCCCCACACTCACCTCTGCGGTTGGGCTGCATGGACTCCCCGCGGCGGCTGGCCCCGTCGCGCAGGCTCGGAGGCACGTACTTCCCAGTCTTGTTTTGAGTGGCCTGCACAGGCTCCAGCTCTGGGGACCAAAAGCAAGGTTAGGTCAAGCCTCCCCTCGCATAGGCCTGGCCCAGGATGCTGGCCGCTCCGGCCATGATCCAGCCCCAAGCACCCTCTCTCTCAAACCACAGGCATCTGGGGGATCTCTTCAAGGGCTAAAGGTCTTAAAAGGACTTAAAGGTCACATCCAGGAAGCTGACCCACTTACATGCCGTGCCTGCTAGCAGCACAGGAAGAGCGAGAGAACCCACAGTGAGAAAATGCCCAGCCTCGCACACACACCAAGACAGGGTAGCAATAGCCCCCAGGTTCCTGACCCTGGGACAGATGGCAAGTGGCTGTGCACACAAGTCACAAGGATAGAACTCCAATGTGTGTGTGTGCGCACGCATGTGCGTGTGCAAACACACGCGTGCAAACACAGCAACCTCGTCAGGACAGACACACTGAGAGAACAGCCGTCTCCCCTCACTACTCGCAATGTCCTTACACCTGCAGCTGTGCTCACTAGAGGCTCTCACAAACCCCAACAGGGAGAGACAGGTGACGTCACCGGCAGAGCACCCACCTGCAGTTTCTCACACAAACCAACGTGGGCTGTGGCCACAGCCTTGCTGTTGTGTGGGAGGTGATAACCACCGACAGTGGTGGTCCTGTCCGGACCCCAGGTGAGGACCCACGACTCCCAGAGATGCACGCAATGCCTGTGCTCCACCCCGACTCCTGCTCCCAACCCCCAAGTCTGCCAGCTGTATCCCATATCCCAGGGCCCTGGCACCTCCGGGGAGCTTCTCCTTCTCGCCAGTGGACAGGCCCAGCTGTTCGGCCAGCTCCTTCTGCATGGGCCCCAGCGTGTCCTTGTAGGGGCAGCGGGTGGTCCAGTGGTCACCCTTGCAGATTCGGCAGGACACGATCTTCTGGCCCTTGAGCTTGTTCATTGGGTCCTCCTCTTCCTGGCAGTTCAGATCCTGGCAGGGCAGGTAGGGGCAGTTCAGACGGGGCAGCCGCTCCCCAGCTGCCTCCACCAACACCCTGGCCACTGGCTCCCCCAGCCAGCCACCCCACTTACCTCTTTGCTGGTGATGAATGTCATGGATACATCATCGCTGACTGTGGTGGTGGCTACATTGGGCCCCGGTGGGTCAAATTCTGAGTTCCCAAACTTCTTCCAGTTCTGAGCTCAAGGCAGGACGGGGGACAGGTCAGGGCAGGGACAAGTGGGACCCCCTCCATGTGCACCCTAGACTTAACAAGAGCCACCCTGAGGGTGGGTGGGCCTTGAACCCCATTCACTGACATCCTCAAATGCTCCTTGGAGAAGTAACGATGACAGTTTCTGTTCCCTGAGGGCATGCCAGGCCCCAGCTTCAGGCCAGCTCCAGGAGATCGTAGGGGCAGCTCTCAGCCTCATGTTACAGATGAGAGAACTGAAGCTCAGCGGGTAAACAGGCCCAGAGCCATCAACCCCTGGCGGGGCTGTGCAGGTAACAGACAGACCAGCTCCCACCGAGTGATACTCAGGGGTGTGCAGGGTCACCCAGATTTCCAGGGGTGAGCTTCCCTGGTGGCTCAGAGGTTAAAGAGTCTGCCTGCAATGCGGGAGACCTGGGTTCAATCCCTGGGTCAGGAAGATCCCCTGGAGAAGGAAATGGCAACCCACTCCAGTATCCTGTCTGGAAAATCCCATGGACGGAGGAGCCTGGGAGGCTGCAGTCGATGGGGTCGCAAAGAGTAGGACACGACTGAGCGACTTCACTTCACTTGACCTCTTTAAACTACCTGCACCTTGGCATCCTTCCCTTTAAGGGGCCACAATGCTCCCCACACCTCCCTGGAATGCTAGCGGGACTGAATGAGAAAATACTTCCCATGAAGCACCTGGGTCTAACAGAGTATGTAGGTAACCGTGCAAAATGTATTTACTGGCATCATTTCTGCTGCTACAACCACCTCACAGGCGGTATTGGCTGTTCCTCCCAGGCGACAAGCCAAGAGAAGTAAGAACCAACCCCTCCGCCCCTACTCCTGCACCTGCTGGACTTTTCAGGGCCCCCATGGGCTGCACACAGGCCTCAGTTCTGCTCCAACCAAACAGGTACACACAGGGGACTTCCCTGGTGGCCCAGGAGTTAAGACTCCGCACTCCCCATGCACAAGGCGTGGGTTCAAGCCTTGCTCGGGGAACTAAGATCCCACATGCTGTGTAGTGCAACCAAAAAATTAGAAAAAAACAAAAAAGCATTAGTCGTTCAATCACGTCCAGCTCTTTGCGACCCTATGGACTGTAGCCCACCAGGCTCCTCTGTCCATGGAATTCTCCAGGCAAGAAAACTGGAGTGGGTAGTTCATCCCCTTCTCCAGGGTATCATCCCAACCCAGGGATGAACCGGCATCTCCTGCATTGCAGGCAGATTCTTTACCACTGAGCCATCAGGGAAGCCCACAAACAGTTAAACCCCACTTCTAAAAAAGAAGGCAATGGGGAAAAGAACTCCAATTTTTCCTCTGAGTCAGCCCTGGACAGGCGGAGAAGGGTCTTACCTTCCTCCTTGCCACAGCCTTTGACGCCTTCCGGGTCTCAATTCTGAAGGTGCGGACAATCTGTGGACAGCAGGGGAAAGGTTTGGGCCTCCTGCTCAAGGTTCCTAGAGCCGGCAGATCTTCCTCATCAAGACAGCCAACACACCACTCTATCCTAGTCCAAGTGCCCCTCAAGCGCGCCTCTTCCCCAGCCTCACCTTGAACTTCTTGCCATCCTCATCTATCTTATACTCCGTCACTGTCTTGATGTTTCCATTGATGACCTCCTTGGGAGGCGGCAGTGGAGCTGGGAGAGGGGAAGAGACAAAGGAACTGAGCCCTGGGTAACAGGGACCAGAAGGAAGGAGGCTGGGGAGAGAGACGGCCTGGGGCTGGAGTGGAGTCGGGCACTCACCTCCCGGCAATAGTTCAGGCTCTGGACTGGTATCCCCAGTGGCCAGGGGGATCCCCTTGAGGAGTTCGCTGGTGACACATTTGTCTGTGACAGGGAGTGGAGGAAGCAGGGGTCAGCTGGGGTTGGGGGCAGGGACAGGAACTCCCAAGCTGAAGTCGAGGGAACTTTGGGATAATATCTGCACCAGGAGCTGAGAAAGCCGGACCAAGGGCTGAGGACTGGCCAGGAAATGTCTTGGGATAGCCATCCAGGGACACGGAACTGGCCAGTAATAACTTCCAGCAATGAGAAGCATAGGGGATCCCTGGCCTGAGGGCAGGCGCGGGCCATAGGCAGCTGGTCGCTGGTATTAATAAAGGCAGGAATGTGGCTGTTACAATTTCCTCCCCGGAGTAGGGAAGCATCAGTGCTGGCATCAAGGACTTGGGCGGTGGCATGGCAGAAGATGGGCTGGCTGGTGAACATATGGAACTGGAGATAGGCTGGCCCAGATGAGAGTGACGCGGGGCAGGGACTGGCCGTCAGGGGAGATGCAGGGCCTGACGGCGGTGCCAGGGTGAAAGATCAGAGCAGGCAGCAGTGACGGCCTGGGGGCGGCGGGGGGAGGCCGGGCTGTGGTGATCCGGGTCGACAAGGTAGACTCACCGTCCTCTCCTTCCTCTTCCACCTGGTCCGCCCAACTGGGCTTCGAACTGCGGGCACAAGTTTGTCAAAAGGACGGATGAATGAGCCGAGGCCCGGCTCCCGCGGCCTCGACGCACCCAGGCTCCATATTAACTCCTAGGACCCTCCCGTCTGCCTCCCAAACCCCCCTTCAC